TTCACCACAGCTGTGCTCCCAGCTCTGCACTGCCATCCAGCGTAGCCCCAGCTGAACGCCTCATCTCCACCAAAGCACTGGGAAAAGCTGCAGCAGTGCGGGGCTGGTAGTGGAACTGCGGCAAAATTTGGGGTGGCTGAAGCCTACTCCCAGCACTGCCAGAGCTCACTCCTCCCCATGCAGCACTTGCTCCAGCTCCACCCCACAGCTGCAGCCCCCCTCGTAGATCCAGTGAGCACATGCGCCCCCCGCCCTCCCAGAGCGTAAGCAACAGCGGGAGCTGCCCCTGTTCCACAAGCTGCTCCTCCGTTCCGCGCCCCTCTCCCTCACCATGGGGAGCGTTGATCTGCCCCCCGCCCTTCTAACTTACCAGCTGGAAGCAGCTCTCCACACTGCCGGCTCTACTCTCTGCTGAGCCGCAGCTGCATGCAGCATGGGCATTTATTGGCCAAATTATCAGCCCCATTGGGCTGATATCAGATAGACAATTTTCTTTATATCAGTACCGATCCGATATCGGACCAATGTATTGATGCACCTCTGATCCTGGATTTGTGGGTTGCCCTCTTCATTTAGTTTGTCTGTGTAAGGGAATTCTACTTTACCCTTCAAGGAAATTAGTAGGTTGGGGTGCGGGGGGTATGTGTATATATTCAGTTACATGTGCTTTTTGAGATGCCTCTGATATCATTATGTCCATCTTTAAGCACCAACTCCCTCCTTTTTATGTAAAAGGGAAAAAATGATCTGCTGTTTCAAAGAGCAATTTATTACAGTATTTATTTCTCTCAGTCCCTTACATCTTGTAACAGGGTAGGGGGGGAAAAAAGCAAAGTTGTTGCCCTGCTGCTGTTTCTACCTCCTTTTCTTTCTTTTCCCTTCACCTCTTCACCCTTGCCTCCTTCCCCCACCCACCCAAAGAGAGAGGTAGAACCCTGACTGGAAAGCTGAAAAATTAGAATTATCCCTTGTTCTCCCCTGATCTCCCTGAACTTTTTTGAGAAAAACCTACATGGCAGTGGAGGGGAATATATTCTCGTCCACTAAGCTCTCCCAAGTTTTGTGACTTACTAAATTTGTTTGAAGTCAGTTTCATGATCCCACCGGGCTTTGGTTGCAGCCAGCTAACAGTGTGCGCCATAGCAGTTTCTACTTCTTTTCTACTTGCCAGGGTAAATGAAACTACCAGAATATTTGGTTTTGGATTTTGATTTCTGGAGCAAGTCGAAAGCAGTCATGCCCTATCCTTCCCCCCTGACCACAAGACACCCCTTCCCCCCCCCCCCCCCCCCCCCCCCCCAACAAAATTCTAAGCATATACAATAAAATTTATTTTTTGAATGAATAATGGAAATTTCTGTAGAAATAGTAAAAAGTAACATACAAGAGAGAATTTTAGCCAAAAAAAAAAAATCTAAATTTTCAGTCCTGAGAACTTCGCAATGAAATTGGATCCAGAAATTTTGAAGCTCCTGGCTCTGCAGCATGACTGCAGAAGCTGAGATCTTTAGCTGCTTGGAGATGTTTAAAAAAATGTGCTTCATTGGAAGAAGTAGTGTGTTGCTTCGACCCAACTCTGCAGCATCTGTATAGATCGGGCACTTCAGTGGGGCTTTGTGGCACTTTTATCTAATAGCTGATAGAGGTGCACTGATATCAGTCCATATCGGATTGGCACCAATAAAAAGAAAATTTATGTTCTTGGCAATTGGATTTTTTGGCTGGTGTAGCCGATTAATGACATTGATAAATGCCATGTGCATGCACGCAACCAGTAATGCAGCCGGCGAGGGAGGGAGGGTGTGTGTAGCAGATCAAGGTCCCCGCGGTGAGGGAGGGAGTAGGCCAGGGGCAGGTACTTCCCAGCCAGGGCAGTGATGGGAGTGGGGTTGGAACCATTGGCATCTCATCTGCGGGAGGAGGGGGCAGGGAAGGGGGAACTCCCTGCCACTATACATATCCCTGAGGGAAGCATAGGCGGTATGTGCCCCCCCCTGACTTGTGTGTAGGGCGTGGGTGGGCTGCAAGCTTGGGGTCAGGGGCTGTGCTGGCTTCTTCCTGGCAGGAGCTGGGCCAGGGTTGTGCTCGGGGCAGGTGGGGAAGGGACAGGCGATGGGGGGCTACCGGGTGGTTACAGCCATCCTAAAACTTGCTGTAGCCACTCCTCCCAGCTCTGCCACTGCCGGCCCTGAGTGCAGTCCTGGCCTGGTCTCCCCACCAGGAAGAGGCCAGTGCAGCCCTGAGCCCACAGCAGACAAGCTGCCTTAGCCCTACACACAGATCCAGGGGGCACATGTCCCTCATGCTTGTCCTTTGGGGTGCATGCAGCAGTGGAGAGTTGCCCCCCATATATCCCCTGGACAAGCTGCCCGTGTCTTTGCCCCGTTCCTGATGGGGGCGCATTCACCACCCTGGAGGGGCAGCGCCAGCCCCGTCCCTAGCTGCACTCCCTCCATCACCATGGGGGTCTCAATTTACAACCCCATGCCCCTTACCTGCCACAGGCTTACTGGCCTGACACTGCTCTCCAAGCTTCTGGGCTTCATATTGGCTATGTATCGGGCAATATGGCTGGTTAATAATCAGCCATTGGTATCAGCCAAAAAAATCTTTATCAGTGTACCCGTAATAGGTGATTCAATCACCTGTTAGATAAAAGCCCCACTAAAGCACTCAGTCTATACAGACGTTGGGCAAGTTGGGTTGCTAGGTCCAGCTAAGGCGCTGCCTCTTCTGGGCATGTGCTGGGCTCAGCGCAGGAATGTGCCAAATTTAAAGCACTGCTTTTTTTTAACATCTGCAAGCTCGTTTCATTTCAGGGTGGCTGATGAGAAGGGAGTGATCCAGACCTAAAGCCCCTTCCAAGCAATGTGAAGGGAAGCGTGATGGAAATCCATCGAAGCTGTGGTTTTGGTTTGTTTTTTTCAGAAACTTATTGAAACTGAAACTTCTTAAATGTTTTCTCAATTTCAGTAAATTGGCTATTTCCCATTTAAAAACCTGTGTGTCAGAGAATTCATTTCCCTCTTTTCACTTCACTCCTTTGCTGCTATAGCAGTGCCAGAGGTATGGCATAGTTTTTTAATTTTCTGGTTTCTTATTGTGCCCCCACAGGACGTTCTCTCTTTCTCAGCAAACAAATTTGTCAGTAGCATTTTCCAAAAGTGCAGAATTGCTTGCAGTCCTGCTTGGTTTGTTTTGTTTTAGTGTGTTTTAGGATTTAAATTCCCACTAAAAAGGGGATCAAAATATGACTCTCCAAATGTAAGCCTCCATTACCAGTTGAGAAATGGTGGAAGTGACTTGGTATTGTGACAGTCCATCAGATTTCAGTCTGCATGTTGTCTGCTTACTAATATCAACATGCTTGAAAATGCTGCCCATGCAGTCAGGATCTGCCCATTGTGAATTGTGCTGCCCTCATTCTTGTTTTAAGAACTGAAGCAATGGATGAGGGAGCTGTACTCAGTTGGTTGCTGACAGATCATCATAATATGGCTTCCAAGTAGCCTTTTCAGCACTTTTAGGTATAAAGTAGCAGGATTGAATGAAAGGATAAAGAAAAAAAAGGAGACCAGAAGAAATGGAACAGACAATAAGCAGAGTATAAGTTTTGTTCTCTTAGAATGTGACTTTTTTTTTTTTGGGTAGGGTGGAGGGGTGGGGAGAGAAGATTTATAAACCCAAATTATAATTACAGGGAGAGTTTTTAACAGTGCTATTCTTGGCTTTGAACATTGTTTAAAGGAATATTTTACATCTATATGCTTTTTATAAAATGGGAGATTCAGAAATATAGAACCTGCTAGGTCTTTTAAGAAAAGTAACAGGAAAGAATTGTGTACATGTTTAAAAAAATAAATAGATAACTTTTCCACTTTTATTTATAAAAACTGTGAAACCAGCTGAATAGAAACTGGCAGGCTATATTAAATATTGGTTGCAGTTGGATAACATTTGAAAAGCAGTAAGTGGACAGTGCTTCTTTTTTAAACCATAAATAAATCTACTTTTTATTTAATAATTAAAAAAAAAAAAAAAGGCCTTTTTTTTTTTTTTTTTTTACAGACATACCTATTTACAAAGCAGACTGGACAAGGAGCTTGTGTAAAGATGGTTAAAATGTGATATATTGTTGGTTTGTGGCTTGCACAGTTAAAATGGTAAACCTTCTAGGATGGGCATAGGGGAGTCATAACCAAGCTTAAATCAATATAACTTATTACTACAATGTTGAAGAATGTTATACTCATAGGTGTTTATACATTCAGGTGGGAGGTAGTACTGAGTTCGTTCAAACAGTGTAAGGAACATGGTTGGCTGAATAGGTTTGTGTTTTTTTTGTTTTTTTGTTTTTTTTTTTGTTTTGTTTTGTTTTTTTTGTTTTTTGGTTTTGTTCACTTGGTGGTGGTGGTTTGCCTTGTTCACCAGTATAACCTTGTAAACCCAGCTGAACTTTCCATACTGAACAGTCTCACTCTGAGTAAACAAGGCATGGAAAAATTCCTTAAAAGGAAATAATGTTTTTATTTGTTCCAATGACAGCTCTTAATTGTGGGGGTGGAAAAACACTTGGGTATACAAAATTAAAACTATGGAATTAGCATATTTTCTGTTAGAAGGAAAATGGAAGCAAAGATATGGAGATAGGAGGAAGAAGGTGAAGAACAGGGAGTGACACCTTAAGGGAGGGGCTCTTATGGCACAAAAACATCTTTGCATCATTTCCCAAAATGGGGAGGAGAAAGTTGTTCAGAGGGATAATCTGAGAATTTATAATTTGATAAAATTAGGGATTCATCTTGATTGTTGTGCTGATCTTTAACATAAGAGATGGTCCCAGTAATCCTCTTGTGTATTAGTTTTTAGGGTGGTGATTCTTATGAAAAGTTTAATCTGTTTTCTCAAATTTTTTTGCTATATTTGCTGCTTCTACAGAATGCTCTTCTATAGTAGTTTTTGTATCCATAAAATTAAAATAAACACTATATTTCTAACAGGTACTTCAAACGATTTCAAGTATGGATTGTTGCCAGGCACTTCAAACGATTTCAAGTATGGATTGTTGCCAGGCACTTCAAATGATTTCAAGTATGGATTGTTGCCGGAATCTTGGCCAAAAGAAGCTTGGGAAAATGGTAGGTAAATTTTTGTTTCTCATTTCCTGTTTCAATGTGGGCCCTCTGGTTTTGTGACCAACTTTTTAAGGCTGCTTACAGACTTTTAACAACAGCACTTCATCGAATGAAGCAGTTCATTACTTCAACCCAGCTCTGGGGTGTCTGCTTTTAGCTAAAGCTGAATCAATCGGCTACTAGATAAATGCCCCGATAAAGCACCCGATCTATACAGATATCAGGCTAGCCAGGTCCAACTAAGGTGCTGCCTCTCTTGGCACGCATAGGACTTGGTGTGGGAATGTGCCAAGCTTTAAAGTGCTGTTTTTGGTGGGTTTGGGTTTTTTTGGTAATGTTTGCAAGCAGCATAGGTAACTCCTTAATAGATTCAAACAACTGGAAGGGACCAGCATGATTCTTAAGTCTGGCCACCTGCATAGTGTAAACCATAGGACTGCTGCCTATAATATTTTTAGGGAAAAACTATTTTTTAAAAATTCCCTCCTTCATTGGCAGGAAGACACCATAATTTTGTGTTTGTTTTTTTTTTAAACAATACCACGTCACCTTTTCCTACTGCAAGCTGATGATTAGTTAGTTTTACTCACTTAAACAACATCAAGCTATTGCCAGGCTTGGATATGTTGATAAATGTACAGAAAAAACTAAGTTAGATTGCTGAACAGGCTTCAGGTTTTAAAATTGAATGTACTGATTCATAATTCTAGTTAGTGCAGTGCATTGTTGCTTCGCAGTATGGGTAAAAACATCTCTTGGAACTAAATCAGATATTCTTCCTTTTTTGAAGAAAGGTTCTCTTTGCTGCATAGACGTGGAGTTTGGGGATAGCTCTTCTGAAAAAATCTGGGAAGCAGCAGCCTATTTTTATATATAGATCTATATCCACAGTAAAAGCTGTGTTAACTGGCACTTTATTAGCCGGAAAAATCTTAACCGGCATTTGAGCAATGCGGCAAAAGCGAAACCGGAAGTGCCGCTTCCGGAGTACTTCCCACTTTACTGCTGCGAGCTGAGTTTTTTCTTTGCCACTTTTTCGGCCCAAGCACAGGGCAAAGCAGCCTTGTGCAGGCTGCCCCCCCCCCGGCACATTGACACCGGGGAGTGCACCAGACGGTGCACATTTGATTAACTGGAATATTTGATTAACCGCATCCCCCATTCTCAGGGGATGCTGGATAACAGAGCTTTTACTGTATATCTCTATATATTTCATAGATGTCACAGACTTCGGGCTGGAAGGGACCCTGAAGGATCATTGAGTCCTGCACCAGGGGCAGGAAGTCAGCAGGGATCATAGGATCCTAGCAAGATAAACATCCAAAACTCATGAAGGTGTTCAAAGTGGGTGCTTGAACCACCTCCAGCGGCAGTCTTTTCCAAACCTTGGGGGCTCGGACAGTAAAGAAGTTCTTCCTTGTGTCCGGTCTGAATCGGTTGCGGCAGAGTTCGTGACCATTCGATCTGGTCATCCCTTGGGGTGCTCTGGTGAACAGATGTTCCCCCAGATCCTGGTGAACACCCTTGATAAACTTAGGTGGCCACCAGATCGCCCCTGAGCCTGTGCTTTTCCAGGCTGAAGAGTCCCATGGCTCTCAGCCTCTCATCTCAAAGTCTGTTTTCCTGACCTCTGATCATGTGCATGGCTCTCCTCTACACTCTCTCAAGCTTCTCCACATCCTTTTTGAATTGTGGAGCCCAAAACTGGATGCAGTACTCCAGCTAAGGCCTCACCAAGGCAGAGTACAACAGGTGAATGATGTCCCGGGATTTGCTTGAAGAAGCATCTATGGATGCAAGCCAGCATTTTGCTCGCTTTACTAGCCGCAGCATCACATTGAAGGCTCATGTTCATCTTGTGGTCAGTCATGACCCCCAAGTCCCTTTCATCTGTAGTGCTAACCAGCATAACACTGCCGAGCCTATAAGGATGTTGCAGGTTTTTCCTCCCAAGGTGCAGAACCTTGCAATTTTTTGGTATTTAAACCCCATCAGGTTCTCGTCCACCCGTTTCCTGAGCCTTTCAAGATCTGCCTGGATCACCCTCCTGTCCTCAGGTGTGGATGCTTTACTCCCAGAATTTGGTGTTGTCGGCGAACTTGGCTAGCCCACTTCTAAAACCAATGTCTACATCATTGATGAAGATGTTAAAAAGTATAGGCCCTAGGACAGAGCCTTGAGGGACCCCACTGGTCACAGCACACCACAACTATTGATTTCCGTCAACCACCACCCTCTGGGTCCTACCGCGGCGCCAATTCCCCAGCCAGCAGATCATGGTGCGGTCAAGGCTGCAGTTAGCCAGTTTTGCCAAGAGGTGATCATGGGCTTTTTTGAAGTCAAGATATATGACATTAGTCTTTTACCCCTTGTCCAGGTGATGGGTCACCTGGTCGTAAAAGGAAATGAGATTTGTTGCGGGTAGGTCTGCTTGATCAACCCGTTCTAGGTATCCCTCAGGATATTGCCATCAGCTAGTCTGTTAAGAATGGCCTTTTTGATAATCTTTTCCAAGACCTTCCCCAGGACAGAGGTCAGGCTGATGGGCCTGTAGTTTGCCAGATCTACTTTCCTCCCTTTTTTGAAGATAAGCACCACTTGGCCTTCTTCCAATCTTCGGGCACTTCGCCAGAGCGCCAGGAGTTCTCAAAGATCCATGCCAGGGGCTGAGCTATGATGCTAGCCAGCTCCTTGAGTACCCTGGGGTGTAAATCATCAGGGCTGGCTGACTTGAAGGTATCTAGTTTGTCAAGGTGTTCCTTTACGAGGTCAGCTTTGATGGAGGGTGTAAGGAAGCTCCCTCACCCGGGCCTCCCTGTCCCGCAGTGGGCAGGGGCATCCCATGGGACTGGTGAAAAACTGACGCAAAGTACCCATTAAGAAAATTTGCTTTTTCATAGGCATCGGTTGTCAGTTGTCCCATCTGGTTTTAGCAGGGGTCCAATGTTCCCCTTGCTTTTTCTCTGGTTCCCCACAAATCTAAAAAAGGACTTTTTATTGTCCTTGATATTTGTAGCTCTATATCTCATAGATATATCTATATCTCTATTTTAACAGGTCTTTAGTGCACATCTATTCTTCATAAAGCACTTGCATCAAATTCTGTGTTCCCAAGATGAGTAAAAATAACAGGTCTTACGTACCACATTTTGAGATCTAGTGATGAAGGTTGATTGACGGATTTATTTATTTCCTCCTCCCCCCCCCCCCTTTTTTTTTTTTTTCTCTAAATTGGGTATGTTCCTAACTTTTACAAGTGAGGAAGTTGAGGCCTGGAAAGGGTGAAATGACTTACCAGAAGTTATCATCAGGCCAGTAATAGAGTAACATTACAGAACCCAGATCTCTTCTAATGATATTTGTTTTTCACTACCTCTAAAATGCCTATCTCTGTCCTTCTTCTCTCCTTAGAAGCCCAAATATAAAATAGCATGGGGGTGTGTGGAGGGTTACAAACAGAATGCAAATTTCAGAAGTATATAGACTCCCCTTCTATGGCAGGACTGAAATTTACAGTATAACCCACTGTCTTGTTTCCTACCCTTCCCTTTTTCTAGCTTCACTTTATGTTGTTTCCTTTTCCCTTGGATAAATACATTGGGAACTTTCTTTAATAATCTTCCTTTCTGATTTAACTAAAAGTTATGGATTGCCACATCTGGAAGTTCATACTTCCATGGTATAGGTAGGCTATACCTACTTGAGTCTGAAATTAAAATTTGTTCCTTGAAGTATAACTTCCAGAATAAAGTAGTATAAGTGAAAATGTATATGGAATGTGGTATAAACTGGATTAAACAATTGACTAAAGAGTCAGAAATCTTTCACACAGTCTTTAAACTAATGCATAAAGATAATCCCTGCTCCCATTTTAAAAGAACTGGTCTTCATATTGTTCATTTTCATTCTAAATATTTCAGTAGAGACTTTATGGGCATTCCTAATTTTAGTAAGTGGTTTTACAGAAGGGGTATATCTACTTGTCCTATCAGTGTTGATTTAAACTTAATTCTGTTCCAACTAGAGTTGATTCTGATACTTTGTATAGGTGTCTAAAAACCTACTTTCTGTGTGTACTGTATGAGCTCTTCTGTAATATATTGAAGTAATCTTTTTTTTTTTATTATTTTTCCTTTTGTTAAATACCTTTCTAGGCGATACATCGGCTCTAATCATGAACAAACTGAAGTGTCCACACTGTAATTATGTAGCCAAATACAGAAGAACACTAAAGAGACACTTGCTCATTCATACAGGGGTGAGATCTTTTAGTTGTGACATCTGTGGAAAGCTGTTTACTCGAAGAGAGCATGTAAAGAGACATTCCTTGGTAGGTAAACTTTATGCCTCCTTAATGCTCAGATATTTGTTTTTAATCTTGTATATAAATGATTTTGTGATACCCGACAACCTTTGAATGATGTGCCTTACTGTGAAATGGATACATTTATCTGGTGGCATGACAATTCTTTCTCTTTTTTGTTTTTTAAATTCCCAAATGGAAAATGGAGTATCCTTGAAATTTCTTTCCAAAGCTCTTTGTGTAGATGATGCAAGCTTTTTTGTAGGTCAGTAGGAATATTTTTGAAAGCGATAGAAGCAGTAATGCAATTGTTTTAGAAGATAGTTCAGTCTATGTAGAATTTGTAGAGTACTTTCTTTTAAAAAAATGTTTTAGACTTGGCTTCAGTTAGTAGTTGCTGTCACTCGGCAGATCTCAATAATGAGTGGTTTGTGGATTTAGGTGTGCGGCAATACAGTGAGTCTAACTTACAAAAGCAATATATCCAGTGGTTTTGATAACTGGTCTCCACCTGAGTTGAACCTGAGCCATCTGCATGTTGCTTTTATCCATCATGCATGCTGAAATGAACCCCCCCCCCATAAGGATTTTTATCCAAATTATATATATTTTATTTTTAGTATAAGAGCAGAATTATTAAACGTAGTTGTACCTTTTTATAACCTTCGAAGGTGACTTGGTTCAGAGTATCTTTTTTTTCTTGTTTAGCTTATGCCTTAATTTATGTTGTGGGGGATGGTAGGTGGAAAGCTGTTCCTATAAATGTCAGTAGTATTATTCAGGAATCCAAATACTGGGTCAGCAAAGCATATGTACCCATGCTGAAGATCTTCAGTTGTTTTCATTTTAGTTTTTCTTATATAAATGCATATTTTGGTGGCTGTTTAACTGATAGCTAATTTTTATCCTTTAAAGTTTAATCAATGATGTATTGGCTACAAAACAATCTATTTTTTTGTATCTGGTCTGTCCCTTTTTACAGGTCTTGAAAAATCCCTTCTTAGGAAATTGGGAAAATTTTGGTTGTGAATATAAAGGCTGCTTATAGACCCTAACTCCTCTCCCCCCCCCCCCCCCCCCAAAAAAAAAAAAAAAGTCACTTTACTTTAAACTCTGCGTTGGTTGGATCCAGCTTGCCCAATGTCTGTGTAGATCGGGCGCTTCAGCAGGGCTTTTGTCACTTTAAATAGTTGATTGAATCAGCTTCAGATAAAAGTGCCAAAATGCCCCACTGAAGCACCTGATCTACATGGATGCTGTGGAACCCAGTTGAACTAATACACTGCTGCTTCTGGTAAAGTGCATCTTTTTTTCCATGTCCTTCAGTGCCCAAAGAGGCTTACATCTTCAGTTCATACAGGATGTGTTCTTGCTTGTTTTAAATATCTGGCCATTAAAATTTTAGAAGCCTACCTTCTAAATGAGAACTTGTTCTAGTCTCTCTACATTATTGCATCACATATTCATACACTTTAGTCACTCAAAGCCCTGTAAAGTTGAAGTGAAATTGATCTTAAATGTTTCTGATCATTTATTTACCAACAGCTTAAGCTGTGAATAGTAGCTAAGGCCACTTTATAATGCTGCCTTTCGACCCCCTACCAGTGTTCATGTTTCACCTGGCAAACGAAAGTGTTTCTGGCAAACTTTTGATGTTTGGGTCTTCTGAAAAATAAAACCTCCAAAAAAACAACAAGTCAGCTTTGGTGGCATTTCAAGCAAATGCAGCAAATTTGCCAAGTTTATTTAATGTTTTTTTTGTTTTCTGTTTTTATTTAAGGTGCACAAAAAGGATAAAAAATACAAATGTATGGTGTGTAAGAAGATCTTCATGCTGGCAGCCAGTGTTGGAATAAGACATGGATCACGACGCTATGGAGTTTGTGTAGACTGTGCAGATAAATCTCAGCCGGGAGGGCAAGAGGGAGTAGACCAAGTGCAGGACACAGATTTCCCTAGGGATGAAGAGTATGAGGAAAATGAAGTGGGAGAAGCTGACGAAGAGCTAGGTGATGATGTAGAAGAACAGAATGACCCATCTAGATGGGATGAATCCGCAGAAGTCTGTATGCCCTTAGATGACTGACCAGGCATACTGCTTATGGTTGCTGCCGCTGGACACTATGTGGATTGACCATTTGAATTCTTGGACTGAAGGCTTGCAAAATATGGTACAGGCTGGATGGTAGTTATGTTGCTGTGAAAATTGTAGGGTCAAAGCCTTATAGCAAAAAAGGATTATTAAATTTTTTTATGATATTTGCACAGGACTGTACAGCTTACAACCATTTGGTTGAATTATACAGAGTCCTCACATCTACAGTCAGTTATCAAAAGAAAATGTATTTTTTATTATTTATAGGATATAGCTACTTGGGTCCTTTCAAACATAGTAGTAACTATACTTATTATGTTACACATTCATGTATCCTTTTTAACATGAATGAAGAAAATTACAATCTTGGTATGGAAATACAACAGCTTCCCCAGAACAATCATAGGTTTGACTGACAGTGAGCCAGTGAGGCTAATTTGGGCTAGTGGCTTTCATTTCCATAAGTAGGGCTTTGTCATACCACCCTTGCTTCTCGCTTAACTTAATGGGATAAAATTAGTAACTAAATTATGCATCGTAGATTATATCATCCTCTTAATGAATTGATTTAAATTATTTGGTTCTAAGTCAGCATGTGGTCTAGGTGACTAGCACTGGAGAAGTTAGTATTGGCATTAATGGCTATTTCCTTCATATTTCTTTTGAAATTGCAAGAAAGCTATTACTCTTTTACCAAATGCGGAATAATCTTTAAAAAGGAAAAGCAAAATGACTAATATTCCTAATATCAGGAGAACTGAGATTTGATCATTGCTGTGTTCCTAAAAACTGGCAGCCATGACAGGCGTGTCAAGTAAAATTTAGCTTTTTTGGCATTAACTCCCATAAGCTTTGTCTTTTATTTGTGTTTTCTTTCTCCAGTGTATACCTCAGTCCCACACAAAGCTTAAACAATCCCAGCAATGGAGAAAGTGTGTCATAGAAATATTAAGCAACCTTTTAGTTTTAGTTTACCTGTCTCTGCTTTTGGCGAGCTTTGTTACACAGTATAAATTAGACACTAGGCTCTTGTGCCCACTGCTGTTTATCCAAGTGAATACACTTTTTAAATTATTTTCTATTTCTTGGGTTGTTGCTAGTGTTCAGTTACTAAATAATGTCTGTCTTGGCAGCTTAATTTGCTAGAATTTAAAAAAGAAAAGAGAGAGAACTCTGCTCCCGCACCCCAAACATAATGATACTCTTTTGAGTTGGTGTACCCCATAGAGCTATATATACTCCCAACACTCTTTTTACTTCAATTTTTGAGGAAGCATTGAAACTTGAATTTTTGTAGTCATTGATTTTTTTTTTGTTTGTTTGTTTTTGTTTTCCTCCTAAATTAGTAAGGCTATACCAGTGATGTTCAGGCCTCTTTCTGAGGGAGGGAAGGGTATTGCACCTTTAGCTTAAATTCCTCTGCTTCATCTAGCCTAATGGAAAACAAATTAACCAATTTTTGGACACTGCGTTTGATGTAATATGTCACGATAAATAAATATGCACAGCATTTACCATAACACAGCTTGGCCAGTGTGACAGTACTGTATGAAAAAATTGAAGGTCACCATATTTTCAGCTTTGTTTTAATTTTAAAATGAGTATATTTTCCTATTTTATATCAGGTAACTAAATTATGTTAGTTGAGTGGAGAACTTTGAACTATGCTTTGACAGACAGAATCCTAATGGTGCTCCATCTGATCAAAGTTGGTATATATTTAAAGAGACAAGCTTTACTGTTGTCCTTTATTCCAGTAGAACAGTGGCTTAATGTTAGACATTGTCTCTGCTGGATGAAACTGAGATAAGTTTGAACTACAGTTATATGGGTATTAAAATGCTTTTTTTTTTATCATCCAGTTGTTTCGTTGGTAGTTTTCACATCATTGTAAACCTGACACATGACTAGTTCTTGGTTTTTGCCTTTTTTTTCTCTTTTTTTTTTTTTTTTTTTAAACTGAAGAATACATCTTATTCTCATTGTTCTAAACCTGAAATGAGTAACGTGTAATTCTGGTGGGGTCCAAAGTAGAAATTAGTTGGGCAAAGATCATATGAATGAAAAGTATTTTAAACGTTAAAGTAATGTTCTGCTTTGTGAATATGTAAGTATAGCATAAAGATTTTTTTTTTTCATCCCATTTATCCCCTTTAAAACCATAGTTTACAATTGGTAGATCTGTCTATATATATTAAATATATATATATCTGAAATTCACCTAAATCTGCTTTATTAGAATACTGCTCACCGAATGCTTAGAAACTGGACCTGGCTTTACATTCTTAATGTATTTTACTTTTTTTCTCAAGGTATGAACTTATTCTCTTGGAACTGAATCTTCTTTTACTACTTAAATCATTTATGTATATCTGGTAAATTATGACCAAATTTGTTGTTAGATTGCATACAGTAAATTGAAATATACACTTGGTACACTACAGAATTGTTGTGCTTTTGTTCTGATTATATTTTGAACAGCAGGGCTAAATTTAGATTAGAGTAGCTTATAAATACTCATGTATTAGTATGTTTGATTGGCCTTAAACTCTTTCATTGTGACTGGTTATTTCCTTGGCAACATTTTGGTGTCTCAAGTTTTTGTTTTTCTTAGTGTTTTAAGTGCAAGATGGTTAAATTTTGGAGATACTATTCTCACATTTGAGAAGTGAATTAATTTATTTGGAATATGGTTTAAAAACTGAATAATCCGAGTTAATTATTGCTCAGTTTTCCACTTCTTAAATTTATGTTAGTGGAAGAAATTGTGTGGAGTAAAATGTGGGTTTGTTTTGATATACCCTTCCACTTTTTTCATGATTTTTTTTTTTCATATCTATGTCTTTGCTCGCAATTTATAGCAGAAGTTTAATTCTTGTTTACCCATCTTGAACTAGAAGGATTGACATAACTAGTATCTGCCAACTTTAAGTTGTAGGCAATTAATGAATAATGCTCTAATTCTAAGTCGAAACAATTTAGATAAATTGGTGTTTGCAGTCACATGTACATCTTTTTGATGAAACCATTAATCAAAAATTATACTTATTCCACCTGCTTCATCATAGGTCACTTTTCTCAAGCTACCTTCTCACACCAAAAAAGTCAAGACATAATGTGTTTCTTCTTCCGACTTCCTGTAGTGCAGGGAAGCTTTTTTTTATTTATTTATTTATTTTTTTAAATTCATAATCTAAAATAACTGTTACAATGTAGGAAACTTTCCTTTTATTTTTCCCCTCTTAAGTAGTAGATCATGAGGTAGGATGATGGAAGGTACTGTCACTAATTTATACCACTCTAATTGGTAGTCTCCAGTCTCTCAGGGGTTGGTAACATTTGCCTTTGCCTCTACCTTTGCCCATGCTAGGGTTGAGCATTGAGGAGCTGTGTCTTCTGCAGCTCTTTCCCACTTCCCACCTGCCATGGTCCCTGGCTGCAGCCTGGGTGCCGCTTCCAGTTGGTGGGATGCATGCTAGTGCCAGGCATTTGAAAGTAGCGTCCATGCTGCAGCTGAGGGGCTGGTGGGGAGTGGAGAAGCAGCTGCACTGGATGCAGCTTACATCTGCTTGGCCCTGGTACAGTTCCCCACCAGCTGGAAGCTGGAAGAAGGGGCTGGGAAGAAGTAGTGGCAGCAGCATGAGCACCATTCCTAGCTGGCAAGTTCCAGCACACCTCTCCTTTGTCTAGAAGCTGTGCTCACAACCAGGCTGAGAACGGGGAGCTTGGAAAAGCAGCAACACAACTTCCAGGTGCCTGGCCTTTGCAGAAGGGGGTGTCTGCACCCATGTGTCACTGATGTGCTGACTGGAGCTGGGATCATGAGCGACTGGTGCCTCCTGAATCTGGGGGAACACCCACAGAAGCTGCTGATGGCGGAGGCCCTGTCGGGGGGGCACCAGCTCTACCAACATTATCAGTGTCGTCTGTCAGGGGGCGCTTGCACCCCCTACCAGTCACCTATTGCTGGGATGTTCCAGCTAGTGACTTGAAAAGATTGTTAGCTCTTCTCCATCAGACTAGATGTGCTACAGCTAAGACTGATGTAAGATAAATGCATAGTAAATTTTAGGTCAAGGTGTAATGTTTCTGTAGAATTCCGTAGTTTAAGACCATCTTTCAACTGTAAACTTCAGATGTATGAACACAATTGTTCAGTCTAGTTTGGGTACTTCTGAATTAAGCTCCTACAGTGGATCATTAACTTCTGTTGCTGTGCAAGAGCCCTGGACACACAGGGTACTGACAGATGTGGGGGGGAAAAAACAAACAGTGCTTTACCAGAAGAGGAAGTGCGTCAGTTTGACCTGGCTTGCCTAGTGTCTGCATTGCTCATACACTTCAGCGGGGCTTTTTGGCGTTTTTATCTAATACCTGGTTCAATCATTTATTAGATAAAAGTACCAGAAAGCTCCACTGAAGTGTGTGAGCTATACAGGTTCTGGGTCACAGTGACTTGATTCCTCTTCTGGGCATGCGCTGCACTCAGTGCAGGGGTGCACCAAGCTGAAAGTAAAGTGCTACTCTTCTTTTCCCCATGTCTGTCAGAGCCCATATATATTTAATCAACACACATAGTGCAGGTAGCAGGGATTGAAACTACCATTCACTATAGTCGCGTGACTTTTAGTGCTTCTCCCTGCTTTTTATGGATATCTGTCATTGGGGGCGGGGTGGGGAGCAGGGTGTATGGCTTAATCAATATGGGGCCTTTAGCTTCCATTTTTAAGGGGAACATGAGTACTGACTGCAAGCGTGGTGTGTGTGTGTGTGTGTGTGTGTGTGTGTGTGTGTGTGTATTTGGTTGGGGGGGGGGTTGGATTTTTTTTTTTTGGTTTTGGTCCAAAACACCAGGTTCTTTATATGGTTCCAGTTGCTAACAGCAGATATTCTTGTGTAGCTGGGCAAAATTTTATGTTATTTCTTAGATTTTAACTTTAAATTTGTAAGACTTCTTCAGTGAATTCTTGTTTGTTAAATAGGCTTGTTTCCCACTTGTTTTTCTGATTCTTGTGTTTTTCCTGTAATGTTGCTTTTCCCTTCCATACCTGCCAACAAAACAAAATTCCTGGGTCTTCTAAAACAAGTGTTTGTAGTCTTAGGCACTGTGAAAAAATACTGATTCCTATTGCAGAGCTCGCTTTGCAACTATAGTCACTTTTGGGTTACTGTCGTTTTGTTGTTTGTACAGGGCTTGAGAGTCTGGTAAAAGAAATGAAGGTGGGATAATTTCTAGTGATCTTGCCTCCTGAGGGTTTTCTTATGTCAAAAGGAAGTTACAGGGAGGACTGATAGAACAACCAAAGGATGCAATTGTGATACATGAGCTTCAATTACATTATATCTTTGCTTGTATGTATTGATTGGTCAACTGGCTTGGAGTTTAAGACCCCAAGACAGACTAGGCTTACAACTCTCAGGACTTTGATTAGACTTCTAGGTTCATTTCTCCATCAGAACATTACTTGGTCGTTTCTAGAAAGCAACTCAAATTTTGTTGATTTGTACCGTGAATAAGGCAGTTTCATAGAACAACAGTTACTATGTATTGCACCTTTTTCTCTTGGTATGTTAGTGTTAAAATATTCATTTTGTTCATT